GGAGGTACAATATTGCACTGTTCAAGGAAATTTGCACCGTCACATACTTTGCAATTGCTTTTCACTGTGTTTTAATTTGACAATTTGAAGTTCAATAAAATTTATCAAAAATACTTTACTCTTACCAGCTTACACATTCCGAAAAAAGAAGTTAAAAATAAAGGCATTTTTTCTATTAATACGATTTATGTTAATGGAATATTTTCTGTGTAATACAAATAGAATGAAGAAAATTTCCCTGTCATTTTTATGTGTTTAATTTATATAAGACAGGTTCCACAGACTCAAGGTCCAAACAAAGGCCGGAAAACGCCCAGGACATAAAACATGAAGACATCAGAAATAGGGCCTACATATTAAACTCTCATAGGCCTATATAAATACAATATTAATTTTTTTTTAAATAAAATAGAAAAATTTGGAAAGGAGACATAAAAAAAAAGCAAATAAAAGCAGCAAAACCAAAAACAGGCCACAGTCAAGATTTTCGCAATGCACACCCTCCAGCAAACACCAGGAAAATTATCGGTTGTTTTTACTTTTATGTTTTAAGTGTTTATATTATATTATTTTGTTATTATCATATTTTTTCAATTTATCGTATTTGCTTTTTCTGACTTTGGCCACTGGCTGCACCAGTCGCGACTTTTGTGGATGCGACTCTGCATCTGCTGGCGTAACGCCAAATCCATCGAGCTACATACCCACACGTTCAAACAGTGCTTAAAAACTGCCAAAAGATATCGAGCCAACCACCGGTGCAACGGTTTTCCAATTTTTAAAATATTATATTTATTTTTATTATTTATTGAATCTTTTAACAATCTCATGAAATCATCGAACGATTCCGAACTTTTTATTAAAGTAGTAAGCTTGTTCCACGTACATGACAACCGCACGGTAAAAAATACTGTATCTGAAAACATTTTTACTTTCGACGATACCAGTGCGTAGTAATCACCAGAAACGAGACTGATCATGAACTGGCTTATAAATGTAATCAGATAAATTTATGAGAATTTGCTGGAATTTAGTTTTTGCGAATGTAACAATATCCTTGCTTTACCTACGTGCGGAGTTTAGTCGCCTCCAGTCGCATTTCATATGACATTTCTTTAGCATTTTCATAACCAAGAATCATCCGTGTAGCACGGCGTTGAATCTCTTCAAGTTTATCTATTATATTTAATCTTGTGAAGTGACTATACCTCGCTACAAAACTTCAGGTTACTGCGGACGAACGATGTATAAAGAACTTTCAATATAATAGGCTATACAAACTACTATTATATCTATTGTAAAAATAAACTATAAATTCAATATCCAAAAAAAAAAAAAAGAAAAGAAAAGAAAAGAAAAAAGGGTTTTGGTAGGCCTAATTAAAACGGCTGAAAATGAATGACCCTTTAAAAAAGGGAAGCTTAGGTTCAAATTGCCTGATCTTGGTTCAACAGCTGTTATTTCGTATTCCGGTTTTTGAAAGTGTGTGTGTGTTGGGGCACTTCACAACCACTATGCGAGAAAAGCGAGCATTTATGCTGGTGGCCACATGGGCCCCCAAGGACCCCCGATGGAGGACCAGGGGGCGAAGGCCCCTACTGATAGGCCCTATTTGACAAAGTTTGGTGAATGTTATTTGTTATTTTATAGCCATCAATCTACTGTAATATGACTTCAAAATTGTTGTAATTTCCAGTGGCGGATCCAGGGATTCAAAGTAGATGGGGACCGGGAGGGGGTATTTTCACAGATGGAGGATGTATATACCACATCAGCCCCACCATGGTTGGGGCTGAGGTAAAAAAATTGGTGATTATGGTACATCTAAATGGTCGGAATTTGCACTTCCGGGAAAGTGATGAAATCGTAGTAGGCCTAGTAAAACGGATTTTTATCGTTTTCCCATGATTATGACGTCATTTGATTTGGTTTGTGGAAATATTTTTTATCGTATACACGATAAATCGTTATCGAAACTTGCTAGTGTGAAAACTTCTCTTATTTCTTTTATTTTCTATATGAACAATTGTTTTTTAGCATGTTATCGTGCAAGTGGCCTTGAAGCATGGAGGAAATAATAATATTTCGTCCATGGTATCAAGTATGTGGCTGGATAGAATCTGTGACAAATATCCATACTTATTCGTGGTCTAGAGGTACGATGCTCGCCTTGTCAGTGTAAGTCGCAGGTTCGAATCCCGTCAGACATATTTCAAGGAACTTTTTCCTTGAAGGGCTAAGTCTGATGATATGTATTCTTTTGTTCCTAAATTTGAGGACTAGTGTTTCTATATATTTACCTACTGTATTTGCATAAATTAGGCCTACTTCATGTTCTATTAGATATTTCTTACCTAAAAGCGTAGTATTGCCACCAAGATCATAGTCAGGGCACTCGTAGCCATTTCAATAACATAATCCTGGTTTTAGATTGTGATTTATATTTTATTATCACAATGAAGATTTTATGGTAGTTTATGTGTTTTATTATGCTTTTTGGATTCCTTGAGCTGAAGAACATAGGCATTGACACCAGGATCATGGTATGTAAGCATTTATGATCCCTTAAACATATTTTTTTTGTTTTTGGTGGCCATTGAACATTTTAATTATTTTGGGGGCCATTTTGATTTTCCCCATTTTCGGCGGGAACTGTTGGGAGTGACAACGTGTTTCCTGCAATTTTTGGAATGGGCATACACAAAAACCCCCTAAGACAAAGTTTCATGCCTTTTTCCAGAAGTGGACGCCCCCGTCACATATCCACCCCACTAGAAAGCCCTTGGCCGTTACAGTCCAGTCTTTGAATCAGTGAACGAAATCGCTGGGAGGATGCGGGTGGAGGGGAGGGGGAGGTAAAAAAATTGAATTAAGAAAAATAATGGTTGTACTGTATATTTGATATGAATTACCGGTAAGATTTTTAAGGTATGAGAGTGCAATTTCCGGGCACCTAGAGAGACTAAGGACTATCAAGCACCCTCTCTCGCCAACTCCTACATCCGCCAGATATCGTTCATTATTAGAACATTGATTGTTATTGTTTTGACAATTTTCTAGTAACCTGCAGTCGATTTAAGTATGAAGGAAAACAAATGTTGTTACCCCTGCTATGCTTTTTCATGAGAATTCCATTAAAAGCAAATAATATGCACAAAAAATAAGGAATACCATACAAATAATGAATTTAGTTATTCAAGTTTTTTATTTCATCACTGACCATACATTTTTATAATATGTTATTATTATGGACCTTTCTGGGGTGTCAATCAAACTCAACAACGGACCAATCAGAAGAATGCCAGGAAAAGAAGGCACGTGCTTAACAAACACACACGTTGTCCCGCATATGCACGTGATTACGTACGTAGGAACGATATCAAGTGGGCGGGCGGGGCTCAGCGGAAATGTCCCGGCCATTATAAAATTAATCTGTGTGGGATTAAGTACGATAGCATTTTCGGTAGTTGATGAGCAACTGTTTGAATGTAATGTGCAAAGATCATGTGCAAAGAAAAAAATGTCATTGATTAATTAATTATTAATAGACGTAGGTCTACTATAATTGAGAGGTTTCGCAAGCTTACGAAAACGGTAACCAATACGGCTACGTCATCAAATGTCTAGTAAATCCATTCCAACAGTAGCATATTTGTCACAGCGAAGGCCATCTATGCTTTTCACAAAAATCAACAATCATATTCAGCTCTTATATAATTGTATTTTCAAGGAAGTTTTAGGCACAAATGATGATCATGAAGATGACGTATTCGTTCATTATCGTTTTCCTAAGGTTGCAAAAACTCCCTACTAATATGATCTCACTAAAATTTGGTATTGATAGACAGATTTTAGGGTGGTATTATACCTATTTAGTTAGTAAGGAACTTTAAATTAAACATTCAATAAATTTGCTCATAATATATCACTAAAAGTTTACAAGATGTAATAGTAATGGTAAGATCTGGGGTTCCAACTCTAGAAGGATTTGACATTAAAGATACCACTGTCTAGTTGGATGTCACTGTGTATCAAACATTCATCATTATTTTAAGTAGAAAGTGAACAAGATCTTCTCTCTTCTACCACCAAACCTGACACTAAACGCATCCTTCTAGTTATGGACATCAGTAATGATTACACCCAACTCAAACTAGACAAATCTATCCAACACTTATTTGACACTCCCCCTCTTCTCGCCAATCGGCAACCCCTTAATCTTAAATCTTAATTATTCTAGATTCTTATCCACCTGTGGCCTATGTATATCGC